AACAAACCGTGGGAGAGTTATAGAGAAAAGAAGAGTAGTGCAAAAAGAAAAAAAGTGATTTTCAATTTTTTTTCAGTGCAGCAGGACACAAAACAAAGTTGCAACCTCAACCTTTTACTTTACATTTCTAAATTTTTCAAATCATTTCTATAACAATAAAGTCATCCTGGTCATCAAAATCTAAAATAAAACTTGGTGGTTTTTTTTTAATTTTGAGCATAAAGTACAGAAGTGGTTTCCAAATGGAAACAAACTATATATTTAAAAGAGATTGATACTCTAGAAAAAGTGCAGAGACAAGCAACCAAGATGATTAGGGGATTAGAGGCTAAAATATATGAAGAACGGTTGCAGGAATTAAGTATGTCTAGTTTAATGAAAAGAAGGACTAGGAGTGACATGATAGCAGGGTTCCAATATCTAAGGGGCTGCCACAAGGAAGAGGGGGTCAACCTATTCTCCAAAGCACCAGAAGGCAGGACAAGAAGCAACGGATGGAAAATAATCAAGGAGAGAACCAACCGAGAACTAAGGAGAAATTTCCTGACAGTGAGAACAATTAGTGGAACGACTTGCCTCCAGAAATTGTGAGTGCTCCAATACTGGAGGGTTTTAAGAAGAGATTAGACAACCATTTGTCTGAAATGACATAGGGTCTCCTGCTTGAGCAGGGGGTTGGACTAGAAGATCTCCAAGGTCCCTTCCAACTCTGTTATTCAGTAATAGATAAATTCTCCTCTTTAATTAAAGCTATCAAGATTGCCATCCATTCTTTCATGGTGAGTATTAGTGACGTTGTCACATATACAAACAAAGATTGAGATTTTCACCATTGAGCAGGAATGCTGCCAAGATGCATAAGCATAACCAGTTAATGAGCACCATATGAGCCATATGGGAGGGCTTAATTTACTTTCATATGGGAAATTATAACAAAACTGTAACCAAAGGGGAAAAAAGTGAAATTTTGAGGGGCCCTTCAGACTGTGATAATCTTAAGTTGCAGCTTGTTTAGCTCATTAGACAAGTAATTATGACCAAAGCATGGGATTTTTATGGATGCCTCTGGTGGATTCCATTACGGGGTAGGACTGCTTCAATTGTCTCACTGGAAGACAAACTGGAGCCAGGGTTAAAATCAGACTCTGGGTCCAGTCCTCCTTATAGGAAGCTTTTTTTAGGCTATAACGTATACAGGTAGTCCTCAATGTACAACCATTCATTTAATGACCATTCGTAGATACAACGGCATTGAAAATAGTGACATGATCAGTTTTCATGCTTAGGACTATTGCAGCATCCTTGTGATCATGTGACCAAATTTCAGGAGCTTGGCAACTGGCATATATTTATCCCAATTGCACTATAACAGTGATGGCGAACCTTTTAGAGACCGAGTGCCCAAACTGCAACCCAAAACCCACTTATGTATCGTTGTGTCTAGGTGGGCATGGCCCATTGGGTGGGCGTGGCCCATTGGGTGGGCGTGGCTGCGGTTGTAACGGCAGACTGGGTGGGACTAAAAAGTTTAATCAATCAATTCCAACTTTGTGAGATCTTTTTTTTCCCCGCGAGAAGTTGAAATTGATTGACTGATTGAAACTTTTTTTTTTGCACATGGCGGTAGAGGCCTAAAGTGAAAAGGTTATATAAAACCCATCTGAAGGCCTAGGACTGGGGCGACAGCACATATGCCCTCAGAGAGGGGTCTGCGTGCCACCAGTGATACGAGTGCCATAGGTTCGCCACCACGGTCCTAGACTCTAGCCCTCATACCTGTTTTTGACCTTGACTTCAAAGTGACCTAACCCTATTTTCATTGTCATTGTTAATGGGATTTTTCCATATATTTCACTGAGGCCCATAATAGAGTCCGAATGAAAAGCTGTTGTGTTGTCTTTGCTTTGAGAATCTCCTAGAATCTATCCTAACACCAGTTTTCAGCCCTGACTTTGAAGTGACCTAATCCTAACCTTAGCCTTAACCCTAAGCCTATTTTCATTGTCAATGGTATTTTTCCATGTATTTCACTAAGCCCTGAAAAGAGTCCAAAAGAAAAGCTGTTATGTTCTCTTTGTTTTGAAAACCCCCTAGAATCTAGCCCTCACACCAGTTTTCTGCCTTGGCTTCAAAGTGATCTAACTCTAATCCTAACCCTAGCCCTAGCCTAACCGGAGTTTCATTCTCATTGCAAATGGGATTTTCATATGTATTTCAATGCAGCCCTAAAAGGAGTCCGAATAAAAAGCTTTCATGTTCTCTTTGCTTTGAGAACCTCCTAGATTAGGAATCTGACCAAAGATAGAAAAATGTTTACCCTTGAACAGAGTGTTTTGGAGCTCTCTTCCCACCTGGCACAGAGAGCGCCAAGACCAATTATCTCTAATATCGGAGTGTAGAAAGAACTGTGTTGAGGTATGGGTCAATCACATGTGAGAATATTCCTTAGTAATGTCTCTAAAACAGCATCTCATCTCTGTTGGCCTAGCAAGGAATTTACTATAACCCTTGGTGGCGCAGTGATTAGAATGCTGTATTGCAGGCTAACTCTGTGCCCACAGTCTGGAGTTCGATACTAACAGGCTTGAGGTTGACTCAGCCTTCCATCCTTCTCAGGTCGATAAAATGAGGACCCAGATTGTTGAGGGCAATAGGCTGACTCTGTAAACCTCTCAGATAGTGCTATGAAGCACTATGGAATAAGCAATAAGCTATTGCTATTCAAACCAATAGAACTGATTCGGAAGGAAAAATCCATATTCCTGATGTAGTCACGAGCCTTTTAAGTTTCTGAAATGATGGTTACTTTTTCTGGCTCTCCCTGTTGTAACAGAAAGGACTAGTATCATTTATTTAATTAATAATTCCATCATATGGGAAACTGTACAAATAAAGTAAAAATGTCACTCATTCACACTGAACTCTGAAAATGGAGATGAGAAACCCTACAAGAAATCTGAGAAAATGTTGGGAGATCTTTTCTCTCCCATGAGAAATTTTGTATTATTTTCCTGAAAAATGAAAGATTATGAAATTCATTGTTCATGGTGCTAAAAAGTCCTTGAGACAAGGTCTTTATGTACCTATGTATTACTATTGGATGATTACTCACACCAAATGATTTCATAGAATTACATAATTATAAAGACTATACACACAATACTTCTTTATGTAAGAATCTATTCATAGTGCAGTACACTACAACTCTCAAAAGTGTATTCTTTTGAAAAGGATTACCATATCCCTAACCCTAACCCTGCCAGCCTTTGGCAAATGGCTGAAGACCTGCATGAGCTCCAGGACATGAAAAACAGAAGGTTGGATGGCCCATGAGACATGATCTTATAATATTATAGCATAATAATATAATAATAATAGTAAAGTTGGAAGGGACCTTGGAGGTCATCTAGTCCAACCCCCTGCCAGACGCAAGGCATTGCAACACAAGGCAAGGCGTGACCGGCGGAAGAGTCTGGAAGAACCAGAAAGCCAAGTGCCACTAATTGGTGTAAAGCTAGTTTGCCTCCCGTGATGCACCAAGGATAGGCACACAAGTGTTGAACGGGACTGCATTGTTCTAGCACAGTGGTTCTCAACCTGTGGGTCGGGACCCCATTTGGGGTCGATTGACCATTTCACGGGGGTCGCCAAGCAAGGCTGTCCGCCATTTTTTTTGTCCGCCATTTTTTTTGTCTGCCATTTTCCCCCCCTTTTCTGGCGGGTGCCTTACCTCCCTTGGGCTGGGCCAGCTGGTGGTTGGCCTGCTCCGTCTCTGCCGCTTGCCAGCTATGCCTCGGCCGGCGCAGGGGGCGGAACCACGCATGCGCGGCGCTCCCGGGCAGGGAAAGTCCTCAACTTACGACTGGTTGGGTAGTCCTCGACTTACGACCGGTTTAGTCCTCGACTTACGACCGGTTTAGTCCTCGACTTACGACCGGTTGGGGTCGCGGCATTAAAAAGGTTGAGAACCACTGTTCTAGCATGTGTAGATTTCCTGACATTGCATGCCATATGCTAAATATATAAATAAATAACCTCCATAGTTACATCCGCATGTAATAGTTAAAAATAGTTATAACTATATATAAAACTCTAAAAAAATAACTATAGTTAAAAACTGAGGCTATAAAAGAGGAATTGGCTATCAAATACTTTTTAAAATGTATTTATTAAAATGGAAATAGTACCATAAACAGTTATGCTGTGGCACAAAATAAGCAATAATTTAGGTGCCATACATACCAAGGAATATTAAGAGTACGCCAACTCCAATCTGAAGTATGAGTGAGATGCTGATGAGAACAATCAGTGGAAAATAAAACCCGAAAGAGGGTCCTTGCTCCATTACAGCTTTCAGCTGGGATGCGTTGGCCATGAGCAAAGCAATATCCAACATACTTTCGGCTGCGCTCTTCTTATTGGCATAGTGGTTCATGTTAATTTGCCTATTTGTCCGTAGCCAATGTCTTCGACCCTGAAAGGCAAAAATATTTCTAAGGCATTCGTCAGCAATGATTTAGCATTATAAACGTGATAGGGTGGGAAAATAAATAACTTGTTTAAATTAGTTACATGTTTGTTTGGAATTGTAACAACTTTTCCACAGGGACTGGAGGCAAAAATGGACTCCAACAGTTCAGATTAAGGAGACATAGCATTGGCCACTGCAAAGTTATATTGCAATATCTTAAAACAGGGGTCAACAGCCTGTTGGGAACTGGGCCACGCAAGCGGCAGGCGAGTGCATGACACTTCATTTGTGCACCCATAGGAGGTAGGTTGCAACCATCCCCTACTCTCCCAGTCTATGGAGCCGGAAAGGTTGGGGACCGCTGCCTTAAAACATTTAATTAAAAACATATTAAAATGGAAGATGAGATGAGAAAAAACATTTGGCATTCACACCAGGAATATAACTGAGTCTGAACATGACCCATATTCTGAAATGACAGGAAACAGCTTAACATGCTTTAGTTTTTTCTTTTTCTCTATTTTATAAATGTTTTAACTACCCCATTACTGCGGGAAAATATATTTCATTTCTAAACACTTTTGTTTGTTTGTTTGATAAAATCAGAATATATTTCTGATCATTCTCTTGAACAGCTTAGATTGCAGTTATTTCTTTTCTGGCTTAGCCAGTAAACATCAAGCACTTAGCAATAGCACCTACTAAACACACACAAAAGTCAGGCCAGAAAGCACTTTCTATGGAGACAAACATGTTTCCAGTTTCCTCCCTTAACTTCAATTTCTCTAGATTATTCCAGATTCACTTTACTAAATTAATCATTTTACTAAGATAAAAAAAAGTTGCACAAGAGCATCAGATCAAATATTTAAATAGCAGGTCCCATTTGAAAAGAGGAAAAAAAATACGGGTTGCCGAGTTAATGTTTTTGTGGTAGTGTTTTGTTGATAGTTAGTTGCTGAAATGACCTCTCCCCCATTTGATACTTCCTTCCATATTTATTTTCCACGTAAGCTACAAATTGCTCCATGTGTTTATATATAGTAAATCTGCCTGAGAGTGACATGGTATAAAAAGTACAGAAATAATTGAAATGTCAGCAGTGTAGTGCAATAGCAATATTAATGAGTGGAAAAAAATCCCCCTATTATCTATTCCTTTCACACACAGTCAAATAGAGGAAAGAGGCATGTTGTAATATCCTTTTGTCAAGCATCTTGTTTCTGCTGTTTGCTATTTATAACGGATAAGGCCTATGAAAATAAAGGATTATTCCAAAAGTAAAGCATACTGGCACCAAATAGGACTAGGGAGTAAAATGTGCAAGAGTACGGTCTTACCAGTGCGTGCAATTGTCCTACAGAACAAATGGTGGCAGATACAGATAATCCTTGACTTACAGCCACAATTGAGCCCAGAAATGTAGTCATAAGTCATAGGGATCCTTAAAGTGAGGCACCCACATGATTGCTCCACTTAATGACCACAATCCTGGCTCTCCCTTTTGTGGTCATTAAGGTAAATGTGCAGGTTGCAATGCAGAGCCCTTGAAACCCCAGGGGGTGGGAGAGGACTCTTGGCACTCACTAAAACTGGGTTAAGCCTGTTCTCTGCACTCAAGAAAAGTATACTACTTTTTCTTTTTTTTCATTTTCATTTTTTTTTTAATTTTTCTTTCCAAAGCGACCTGCACTCTACATATGCTTAGAATGTTGGCTTTTAAATAGTAATTTTATTAAAAATTTCAATTGCAACAATAAAAAATAAAAGAAGGAAAAAAGAAAGCGCAGAAAAGGAAAAAGGAGAAAGAAAAATATCCCTGGAGAGTCGCGGTCATCTGGGTCATGGTTGTCCCAAAGATGCCTTTTCAAAAGGCAACTGGACTTCCTTCGTTTTCTTTGAAGACGTTTCGCTTCTCATCCAAGAAGCTTCTGAACTGTGGAAGCTCCTTGGATGAGAAGTGAAACGTCTTCAAGGAAGAACAAAGTCCGGTTGCCTTTTGAAAACGCAACTTGAGAAAGAAAAATAGAAAAGAAAAAAAATAAAAATATAGTAAAAAAGAAACACACACTGTATGTAGAAATAACTCCTTTTCATTACAATGGGTATAAATAACTTTAGTAATTTATCACCTTTTCTTAAAATAGAACAAATGACGTTTTCTTTCCATAACCCATCTCTTATTCATGAGGCCTCATTATTTCAGTCCTGATGTCAACCATAGTCCATACCAGAGATAACGACATACCTATTTTAAACTTGATCAAATAAACCAAGTTTATAGTCCTTCTTTTTACTTTTAACAATCTTGATTTTTAGTCCCTTCAAATGCCCTAGAATTTGGTTTCTTTTTATTTATTTATTTATTTATTTATTTATTTATTTATTTATTTATTTATTTTCTTTTCTCACAAAAATTTTCAAAGCTTTAACAAGTCTCTTTTATAACTACAACATAGGAAAAATATTCAGGGTGCTCTCTTGGTTTGTTATTTGGATATCCCTTTTAATTTTTAAGACATCAGCAGGGGCTTGCACTAGAAGAGTTCTAAGGCAGGGCTTTTCAACTTTTTCACCCATTGTACCACTTTTAGGATATGGCAATATCCGAGTACCACGAGTCACCTAGCAAGGTGTCAAAAACTTGATGACCCCCCCCCAAAAGGAAAAAAGTGATAAAATACAGGTAGTCCTTGACTTACAACAGTTCGCTTAGTGACTGTTTGAACTTACAATGGCACTGAAAAAAGTGCCCCCCAAGCCACAGCCGAGCAAGACACCTGCCTGCCAACCGGGTGGCACTCTTCCTCCTGTCCAAGGTTTTCATTGTTGTGAGCATTTCTGTTGGGATTGGCAGTGAGGGTGGGGTGGGGGGTGTTTGGTTTTTATTTCCCCCGTCTGCTGGGTGGTTGCAGCAGGTTTTGGTCACTTCACAAGACCCTGGGACACTGTGACCATCATAAATATGAATCAGTTGCCAAGCATCTGAATGTAAATCACAAGACCCTGGAGATGCTGCAACATTCTAGCTGATCGGCGCTTCTTCTGGGCTCAGCAGAAGCACCAGGATCAGCACCGAGCTCCAGCTGGAGCCTGGCGCTGATCCTGATGCTTCCACTGAGCCTGACAGCCCCGAAGCTGGAAAGCGGCACTGATCCTGGTGCTTCCGCTGAACCCTGCAGCTCCAGCCATCTCTCGCTCAGGCTTGTGCGGTGCTGCCACCGATTCAGCTCATTCCCCTCCCCCGCTACTTCTCTAGGATGGTCGCGTACTACTTCCAGGTACCAATGTACCACAGGTGGTACTGGTTGAAAAGCCCTGTTCTAAGGTCCCTTACAACTTTATTATTCTGTATTGAGTAAGACTTTGCAGAGAACCAGCTTTGAAGAGCAAAATGTCATTTAGGCATACCTTAAATGCAACATGCATTTTTGCAGGACTTCCTGGCAATTGTGCATGACAACCTTGCTAGCACAGAAAAAGACAAATCTGCTTCAACATGTTCACAAAGAAAATATGTGTGCCCCCATATGCATTCTAAATCACATTTAGCCTTTTGGATCCAGATCTTTGCCCAGCTCTGCTTTTTATACACCTGACGAAGCAGTGAGAAAAAATATGGTGATCTTTTCAATGAGATGAGAATATATCATGACTGGATTTTCCCTTTTCCTCCAATGCATTTTTCTGCACTATAATTTGGCATTCTGTTTTAACATTCCCAGTTTAATCCTAAAATGAGCAAGGGGTTGGACACAAAGACCTCCAAGGTCCCTTCCAACTCTGTTATTCTATTATTCTGCTAAATTCACTTTCACTTTGGAGTTTTTTTACACTTGTTCACTAGCAACATTTTTGAAACAGTAGCTTTATATACCGGTAACTATTTTATTGCCCTTCAAAGTATGCCTATTGTTATTTGCCATATTTTCCATATTTTCCTTCTAAAGTTTCACAAGTTTCATTATGATAAAGTCCATTGTAAGAGGACATGGTTCTAATTGGTATCAGGCTTGTTTCCATCAAACATGTTTTTAATGAGATCAGAATTAAAATCACGTTGGACTCAGAAAATTAGCATTTTAGCATTCAAAATTTAATACAATGAGTGCAATTATTGAAATTATGCACAAAGAATAAGTGCATGTATTCACAAGACTGCTTTTGCAATCAAGATAAGATTCAGAACATGCAGAAAATAGTTTCCCTATTTAAGACACGTATTTAGAATTGCACAAGATATTGCTTCAGTGGAGTATTTCCCCAACTTCCCCTACTTTACAGCATTTCAAAAAAAAAAATCCTTCTAATACTTTTTTCAGAAAATATTTGTCAGAAAATCCATTAGGTGTAGAAAAGAGCAACAGTGAGGAAAGGATTCGTTTATTTAATATTTTAGGTTAGGTGGAGTTTAAGTGTTAAACCACAGTGAGAGAGTTCATCATTTAGCCTATTTCTAATGTAAATACTGCCCTTTCAATATTAAAAGCATCATTTAATACTTTTTTCCTAGACTACAGGTGTTTATACAACAACTCAGGTCTAGCCTGTATGAATAGTAACTTTGTTGGTTAGGATGAAAATGACTGGGTGTCATTGAATAAGAGCCACAAAATGAAATATTGATCTTCTATGAAAGAAGCTTTAACTCAAAGCAATGGCATCAAAAGAGGATTCATATATTCCACTAAGCCAGAAGTCCCCAACATTTTGGGCACCAGGGACCGGTTCTGTGGAGAGAGGTTTTTCCACAGACCGGAGGGTGTGTGGTTTTGTGTGCTGCCTGCATGTCACGGATGGGGCTTTGCTTGTTTGTGCAGACCAGTTGCTGGCATGCCGCAGACCAGTACTGCTCCACAGACCGGGGGCTGGGGACCCCTGCACTAAGCCACCAAGCACTTTCTTTGGATTCATCCCACTATAGTACTACAGTATGTTACATTGCCTTGAAGACTCTAGTAGGTATGTCTGAGGGCAACACTGAAAATAGGGTGGGTAGGTGG